GATAATGAAAATCAATTGTGTGAATAGAGAACTTAAATCCCCCCAAAACATTCAAGGACTTTCAAGGAAAAGTGTATTTTTTTGACTGTTTTCACAAACTTTCCTGGGCCTTGAAATCATTTTTTCAAATTCACAAACTTTCAAGGATTTCAAGGACCCGTGGGAACCCTGGTTTTTATGCAGTGTGAGTGTATTAGTCCTATACAAAAAAATGTGCCAATGCACAAGTATGAAGCATTTTTAACTGTTTGGTCATTACTCTTTTGTTTTTTGTCAAAAGTTTTGATTTGCTACTCCTTATCAATATTTAGAAATGAGCTGAACCCTAATATCTAAGATTTTTCTATGTACACAATAAACCTTCTTCCTTCAAATGCTCAGAAATTTGTGTAAATCTGTGTTAGAGGGGCTTTTCTCCTTTGCTGAGATAATCCATCCCAGTGTGGCAGTGTGGCATATCTAGAGGCTGATTAGACAGCATGATTATTGCACAGGTGTGCCTTAGGCCGGCCACAATAAAAGGCCAGCATAAAAACTTAGCATTCTTTGAAGGAATGTAAATTGCCYGCCACTTTTCATGCCAGAGTTTGAAACCAAAATCATCTTATGTTGGGAAAAAAAAAAGATTTATAGACATATGAAAATGACTATGCTCAATCTACACAATTTTGCAAGATTTTGCTTTCAGAGAAGATACTAATGACACTAAGCTGCCACCACGTTCGATATTAGCTCAATATCTGTAAACTGACTGAGTTATACAGTCTATTTGTCTTATTTGAGGTCGATTAGTTGTGGCAGCCATCAGAGACCAAATTTACTCCAGAATTGAGTCTGGTTAGATGCACATCCAGTGATAACTTTCTGATAAGTTTCATTGAAATTCATTCTGTGGTTCAGTAGATGTTAACAAAAACAGGGGTGACTGACCGATAATAAAGTTTTAAGAGGATTTTGAGCAATAAGCAATAGAGTGCATGTTGAGGATGACTCTCAGCTACTACCAGTCTAAATCTGTGAAACTGAACTATACAGTGGTTTGCAAAAGTATTCATACCCCTTGAACTTTTCCATATTTTGTCACATTACAACCACAAACATAAATATATTTCACTGGAATTTAATGTGAAAGACCAACACAAAGTGGTATACAATTGTGAAGTGGAAGCAAAATTTTACATGAATCAAAACATTTTTTACAAATAAAAAACTGAAAAGTGCGATGTGCAAAATTATTCAGCCCCCCTGAGTCAATACTTTGTTGAGCCACCTTTTGCTGCAATTACAGCTGCAAGTCTTTTAGGGTATGTCTCCACCAGCTTTGCACATCTAGTGACTGCAATTCTTGCCCATTCCTCCTTGCAAAACAGCTCAAGCTCAGTCAGATTGGATGGAGATCTTGCCACAAATTCTCAATTGGGTTTAGGTCTGGACTTTGACTGGGCCATTCTAACACATGAATATTCTTTTTTTTAAACCACTCCATTGTAGCTTTGGCTTTATGTTTAGGGTCGTTGTCCTGCTGGAAGGTGAACCTCCGCCCCAGTCTCAAATCTTTTGCTGACTCCAACAGGTTTTCTTCCAAGATTGCCCTGTATTTGGCTCCATCCATCTTCCCATCAACTTTGACCAACTTCCCGGTCCCTGCTGAAGAGAAGCACCCCCAGAGCATGATGCTGCCACCACCATATTTGACAGTGGGGATGGTGTTTTCAGAGTGATGTGCAGTGTTCTTTCTCCGTCACACATAGCGTTTTGCATTGTGGCCAAAAAGTTCAATTTTGGTCTCGTCTGACCAAAGCACCTTCTTCCACATGTTTGCTGTGTCCTCAACATGGCTTCTGGCAAACTGCAAACGGGACTTCTTATGGTTTTCTTTTAACAATGGCTTTCTCCTTGCCACTCTTCCATAAAGACCACATTTGTGTAGTGCACGACTAATTGTTGTCCTGTGGACAGTTTCCCCCACCTGAGCTGTGGCTCTCTGCATTTCATCCAGAGTCACCATGGGCCTCTTGGCTGCCTCTCTGATCAGTGATCTCCTTGTTCGGCCTGTAAGTTTAGGTGGACGGCCTTGTCTTGGCAGGTTTACTGTGGTGCCATACTCTTTCCATTTCCGGATGATGGATTGAACAGTGCTCCGTGAGATGTTCAAAGCTTGGGAAATCTTTTTATAACCTAAGCCTGCTTTAAACTTCTCCAAAACCATATTCCTAACCTGTCTGGTGTGTTCTTTGGACTTCATGATGCTGTTTGCTCCCCAATATTCTCTTAACCAACATCTGAGGCCGTCACGGAGCAGCTGTATTTGTACTGAGATTAGATTACACACAGGTGGACCCTTTTGAGTCATTAGCAGTCATCAGGCAACTTCTGAATGCAATTGGTTGCACTCAGGGAAAAGGGGGCTGAATACTTTTGCACGTCGCACTTTTCAGTTTTTTATTTGTAAAAAATGTTTTGATTCATGTAAAATTTTGCTTCCACTTCACAATTGTATACCACTTTGTGTTGGTCTTTCACATTAAATTCCAGTGAAATATATTTATGTTTGTGGTTGTAATGTGACAAAATATGGAAAAGTTCAAGGGGTATGAATACTTTTGCAAACCACTGTAATCATTATTTGTGCTTCATCAGGACAGCTGGCTGTGACCTTGACGAGTCAAGAGCAGCAGCTTAAATTTTTCTTTTGATCGAACCAAAAATTATTTTTTTTATAACTATACAGTATTTATTAAGCTAACATATATGACACGTTTAAGTTTGAAATGTACTTAAACTGTGTCATTTATGAGCCCCGTCAAGAAGTCAAAACTCTAAAATACAATTGTTAATTTCATGCTTCACTATCAGGAAGTGCTGTCACCACAGAAGCTGTGCTGTACCTGGATGTCTTTGTAGTTTTCCCTCAGATCCATGAGACGGTGGTACGCCTTGATGGCTTCACCAAAGTCTCCGACGTCGGTGCCGACAACCAGGAAGTTCTCCCAGATCTGCCAGTGTTCATAGTTACACTTCAGAGCCTCCTGCAGCGTCCGGAACGCTTTGTTTCTGCAAAGATTCACAGAACAGAAGGACTGGAATTCCAGATAACTGTAATACGTTTTTGGGTTAAAAGTAGCTTTTTTCTTTGATTCGACATGAGTGTATATATTAATATATTATATTATATTAATATATTATATTATATTAATATATTAATAAAGCTTTTTAAACCTCAGAAGGTTCAACTTCATGACAAGAAGTTTTCCTTAAGGGAAACACTCGACCACCTTATACAACTGTTTAAAACTATATTTAATACTTTCGTCCACAATAAATATCAATCTTTTAAAGATATTTCAGGCTAAAACAACAAGATCWAGTTTAAATTCCATTTTATTTTTTTACTATTGTTTAAAAAAATCCACTATTCTTTTTTAATCGGCAAAATACTCATTACATGGCAATTTTTCAATAAAAAAAGGGATTTTCCCCACTTTAGTACATTCAAACTTTTTTGATCATTTTCTTTTTAACTGCAGTAAGGAGTTTTGGRGAAAGCCTCCAACTCCCCTGACCCTCGGGGTCTGTTTTTTTGTACCAAATGTTTTCTCGTGTATAATGTAACTCTATTTGCTCTTCACATCTCAACAAAAACAATCTTTATCAGACGAGATGAGATACAGATGTCCACAGCAGCATCTAGCTACAAAGGATGCAACTCTTTTGAGTGATGCACATGAAAACGGACCTGTCTGTTCAAACACTCAGAAGTCAAACTTACTTCATCTGGAGGCGAATGTAAGCTGTAGAGAGGTTGTTCCACGCCTCAGCATTCTGAAAGATCAGAGTGGGACGGGGAGGGTAAGGAAAGGTAAACAAACAATTATCAACAAAAAATACATAACTCTTCACATTACACATATACACATATAGTAAAACTACGTGAATGTTCAAGTTTTATCAAAAAAGAACATATAGACAAAAACTTTCCAACATGTGAGAGTGTAAGCTTTAAATAAAAAAAAAAATGGAATCAATCTTTTTCTGAGAAATGTGATGACTGTAGGGGTTTTGTGTGTACATGTATCTAATGTATGTGAATCAGTGTCCAGGTACCCTGCTATGATTTGACCATAAACCAATGAGATGAACGGAAACAAGCTGCTTCCTGAGGCTCTGCTGCATTAACATGAAGTGAACAGGAAGTGATGACTTTTGTCCAGGACTTTTTCCTTCCCAACCTAACCTGTAACCCTGTGCCACGTCAACGATCTCCAACATCAAATCCAATGAAGCTGGGATGTTTTGGAGCATATGTTGTTCCAAAATCCTGAATGTACGTTTCAGTATTAATGGGACCTTCACAGATGTGGTAGTTACCCATGCCATGGGCTAGTGTTGTAGTACTCCAGACCAGTCTTGGACTTAACACCACTTTTTGATGGTCTTGGTCTTGTCTCAGTCTTGTCTTGATCTCAGACATTAAGGACTCAGGATTTTACTTCAAGGCCAGTCAAGAYCACAACTGGAAATACCACTAAATTGCCAGAATATTGTCCAAATTATTTGTTAACATCCTTACTTTCATTGGATGTAAAATGCACAGATTGAAAATCTAAAAATATTGTTACCGCTGCCACTCCCACCCCAGAGTGGCCAACTCTGAGTGTGAGACACACACAATTCACTATATTCACACGCTCTCATGCTGAAACCGTCCAAATCTGTTTTTTTTTTTTTTGTATCGCATAAAACGCTGCTGCGTGCTGGCACAGCTGTCTTTGCTGTCCAATGTGAGCGGCACTTCCCAAACACAAAAAGAGAAAGAGGGCAAACGTGTTAAAAAGAAAGGAGAAAGTGTTGAATGGAGAAGAGAAATTAAGAGGGAAAAGGCAAAAGCTTTGTAGAAGATGCAGCCTAATGCGTTAAATGAACAGATAATTTCTGATGGAGGGGCCGAGGTCAGCRTGACTAAAGTCAAATGTGTTTTTGTATATAGCTAAGTGAAATAATAACAAGAAAATTGGCATTTTGTTTTTGCATTTTGGCCCTTGAGCAACCCTGATGCTAAAAAAACTCCAGTTTGTAAAACACTCTTTACTTTTAGATGAATCACAATGTTTCAGAACAATCATCATGCCTGGAACATGTTATGTTCTGACCACCCCTAGACAGGGCAGAACAGAAATAATGGAAAACTAATCAGATGTTATAAATGTTTTGGTTTAGTAGAAAAGTACATAAAAAATTAAACTGTACTTAATAGTAGCATTTTATAAAATAAAGTAAAGAAAAGWGAAGTTCGAAGACAAGCTCGTTATGCAAAAGTCTGCAATTAAAAGTGTTTCTTCAGCTGTTCCACATAAAATAAGAGGACTGTCAGCTGAAACAACAAACAGATTTGATAAATCTTTTTCAACCTAGAATTTTTAAAAAACACATGGTTCCACAGGGCTGAAGAGAAGCTGTCAGACTGAGATATCTGGTGAAAATTCAACAAAAAGCTTTTTGACAGAGAATCTCCCTGCAGAGCTGGTCTGTCAGCTGCTACATGAGGAAGTCCAGACTTGATTAGTGAAAAATATTGTTTTTCATAAGCGAAATCCAYCACTCACATACTTCAAGCTGGTAGAAAAGCCAATGTTCCTCTTTTCTTGAACAGAAAAAAAAATTGCATTTAATGTTTTTGGTGGGTTTTATAAAACCAACATGTTCGGTTGTCAAATACAATAAATCAAAGTGATATATTTCATTAGTTTTCAACAAAATAAAGCAGCTGAATGAACATCTCAGAGTGGGGTTTCTATATTTGCTGCCAGCAGTAACAAACAGATGAAATTAGAGTCTATGATCTGAGATGTAATGTTGGGCCGACTCACCAGCAGGTTGTGTTTGTGTTACAGTAGATTTCAGATTTCTGTGTGTTCATTTAATACAGTTAATATTTGGTCGACATTTTCCAGTTTCCATCATTAGTTTGAATTTTCCGCTCCTCCCACAACTTTGGAAAAATCCAGATTAAAAAAATAAATCACAACTTGCAGCTTGGCTGAGAATAATGTGTTACGACTTTTGGTAGTAGTGGGTCAAAATAATCATATGTCAAAATTTAAACACATTGCAGAAAATTGGCYTTTACATCTAAACTAGAATTTTGATGCAATTAAAGGTTTTTTTGCACAACAAAGTTAAGTTTTATCTTTTTCTTTTTTTATGATTTCACCACAGAATATATAGCTTTTCATAGSTTATCTAGAGCYTTGAAATTGTCCKTCGTCTCTTTAAGAAGCTCCTACCATTTCTGACACTCTCACTTCAGCACATCTTCTCAACAGTGCTTCATGTCATTTACAATCTTTCGTAGRAGCGTTATATTTTATGGTTTAAAAAAAAATAAAGCAACATTATATAAAAGTGCTTTTGGAAAATGGGAACTCAGGATACAGTTGAGCCTTACTCAAATGATCCCGTTGGACCCAGAAAGTATGTTTTCTGAAAAACTGGAGCGAGGATAGAGGCTCTTACGAAACATTTCAGCTTGGTAATATACTGTATCTCCCAGTCATCCTCTCATACATATACACCAATGTTAAGCTAGTTTTTGCAAAAAACAAAACAAAAAAAAAACAAAAAACAAAACATAAATATAGATCATTATGAAGCTCAGCAGCGTAATGACATCCAGGGAGAAGCTTTGTACAAATAGGTGGTGCTCTGTACCAGAAAGTGTTTAGGCAGCTCCACATGGCTACCACTAGCCTGGCCCTTGCCTTCTTATGCAGTTCTGCTCATTTCTAGTTTCCCTTCACTGCTCTGTCTGGGATTTCTCCCATAGACAAGGATTTCTTCAGGAGAATTTTACCTGGGCCAATCAGAAAACAGAAGAAGTTTTGAACACCAATGTAGATTTTCTGCGCAGTGTCTGCTWGTTAGTTTAGCAATGGCAGTGGAGGAAGTGAATGAAGCCTGTGTTGACAAGGCTTCCAAATTAAATTAAACTTGTCTGACAAAACCTGCAGCACTCATTTACAGCCATCTCATTTGGCTCAAGTACTTCTCTCCTCTCAGYAGGATTGTTTACATTGTATRMAATTTCCAGTTAGCTTCTTAGCTTAGCCTCCTTCACAGTCGAGTTGGCGCACTACATATGTTGCGGCCAACCGTAAGCGATTGGGTAAATCAGATCCAATCATTTAAAACTTCAACAGAGGCCACGTCTCCAGCAAGTAATCGCTYCTCAATAGCCGAGAGTCCAGACCCTCTGTATGAAGCAAAGCGAAGAACAASGGGCTGGTTTTTACCAAGCTAGGCTACCACAGGAGATTTAAGGATTTCTTAAACATGTATGAACCCCTCGGAGCTGTTTAAACTTTCCAAAATGTGTTTACACTGGCACTATTGTACATTAAAGTGGACCTATTATTGGGTCCTTGAACACGTTARGATACATCTGCGGGCTATACAAAACATGTTCATTTACTTTAATTCACAAAATTAATGTCAGATAACGAGATTTCACGTTTTCAGTTCTGCCTGTTCTGAGCTCCCTTCAGAACGACTTGTTTAAGTAAATAAGCTGTTGTTGGCAATGCCCTCCCAACACAGTGTTTGTTAATGTTTATGTAGCMCTTCAGATACGYGAAAATGGCTACTAGTAYAAGCAGATGTACAATGGTTCTGGCTTGCTGCTYGTCTTGTTTTCTATATCTTGAATTATTTCAGTGTTTACCTCATCACTCCTTGTGTTGGTTCAGTTGTGCTCAGTTTGGACTGAAGTCTGTGTTTTCATTGTTTGGTTTGGTGTTCTTGTGTTGGTTCCAGTTTAGCTTTGTGTTCCCTGTCATCCATCAGTAGGTCCCCTGTGGGCTCTCCCTGTCAGTTTGCCATGCCCACTCTCACCYGTTCCAGTCTGTCTCCCAGTCAGGTGTTTGTGATCATGTTCATTTAGTTCTGTTTTATATTCTGAGTCTTTCTGTTGGGTCCTAAGTCGACCATTACACCAGCTGTTCAAATCTCTCTGTGCTTTGGGTAAGTTTCTGCTGACATGTCAGTTTTTGCTTTATTTATTTATTAAAAGTATATTTATTTTATTTTTATTTTATTGTGTCTGCCTGCTCTCTTAGGTTCAACCACACCGACCGTTGTGACAATGTTATCTGTAAAAATCCACTGTAACTAGTAGATGTGCGCTTTGTTGGCCATCTTCAGAGTGAAACTGCAGCGTACAGGACTGTCATTATKTCATAAATGATAATGTTTTCTGGTCAATGTGGTCTTGCTAACTAAAGGTGGTCAGTATTTAAATAAGTGTTTTAAATTACTTTTCAGAGTTTCTCTTTGATGTCACTTCTTGTTTCACTTTGGCTGAGCCAAAATAGGTAAAATCGTATGTATTATGTCAAGTGTAAAGGCATTTTCTGTGACTCTGTGTTTGAAGGAAATGCATGTCACAGACACTTAAAAGGATAAGATTGGGTATAACTTTAGGTTTAGTATGGAACAGGAGTGTAATCCTAATGTTGGTGMGTTTCCTCAGTAAGAGAGGACTGTGTGAGTGGAGGGACTTACGTCTGGCTCGAGTCCCACACACCTCTGGAAAGCCTTGGCAGCTCCCTCATAGCCCTCCAGAGCAAAGTAGGCGCATCCGAGGGAAAACCACACACCAAGCTGCACACAAAACAATAAATTCAGCCAAAAACACAGAAAACATCCAAACGAATAAAAAAAAACATGTTGGTTGAAGAGTATCAAAATTATTTTCTGCTATAGTTTGAAGAGCCGGGATGAATCATGGTCAGTTTTGTGATGAAGCTAACTGAAATACATATCCACACACACAGTCTGCTGCAACACTAACAGAACACACACAGCAAAGAGGAGGCCCACAATACTGTTTATTTTRGAGCTTCAAACTTTTATAGATTTTCTTGTAAAAAAATTTGCTCTGAAACAGAATCAGCTGCTATTAAATTCAAAACTATGTGATCTCTTTTGTTTGACTTGTTAACATGGGTCAGACAATCAAACTGCACAATGCATGTTCCCAGGCAATGATGAGATTTGTGCTCTACATCAGACCCATCATWTGTGAGAAACACACAAGTGGAGCAGCGAGCATAGCGGGCAGCTATGKAAGAGCCCGGGGAGCTTAGGGACTGGTCTTGCTCAAGGACAMCACGGCATGTGAGATTGAACCTGTGACTTTCTGGTCYCAAAACAACTGTCCTACCAYTGTATCAGAACTGCAAAMAAAATGACGCAATTTTCGTCACACAACTAAGATGACTGGAGCCAAATTTGGCAGTTTGAATTGAGTGTGTGGAGGCCTTTTATTTTTCACACTAACATCATGGTTTAACCTCAGCTTAAAATCTGATGAGAGGAAAATAATATTGACTGACAAAACTGCAAAACTCCACTTTTCTTTACAGTAATAATAATGAGGAGTTACTGTGTACAGAACAAAATTGGTAAAAACCCCAAGCAGTGTTTWTACCTGCATGGTGTTGATTTTCAGCGACTTCTCGAAACAGTCGACACACTGCTGGAACTCCTTGCTGCGGAGGTGCAGCAGGGCTTTGGAGCGCATGGCTCTGGCACTTCGTTGGCCCGACAGCTCCCACGCCCTGTCGTAGTGCTGATGATTGTTCAAGATGTCCCCGAGTAAACAGTAGAGACTCGGYGTCTCCTTCTTCTCCAGCTCTCTGCGCACGATCTCCTCAGCCTGAGCAAACGTAATGCAGAAGACGAGGAGGGCATAAAGAGACACCGTTACTGCAACAAAGAAAGAAACTAGCATATGACATGAGGGGCTAAATGAAGAACAAAGTAATTGTTCTGACACCATGTAAGTGTGATTTTTATGTAAAATAACATCAGTGTAGCTGYAGGAGACCTTGACTGATGAATGAGTTAAAGGATAAAAATAAAGCTTGACGGTTCAAAACCGAAAAGCTGTGAAAATAAACACATGTTCCAACTTRAGAAACTGTCAGGCCACTTAAGACAATTCAAACAGAACATGCCACAACACGCTTTGAACATCGAGTGCTGCTGTTTGAGTGGAAAAGAGAACAGCTTGTTCTCTTTCATAGCATTCGTTCCGTGTCTCATATTGGGAACACCTTTGGCGTGATCTCATCAGAAGCTCATATTACATCACGCCAGCCAGGATTGGCTGGAAATCAGCCTTTCAGTGACAAGGAGGGCCACGACYCTCCCCCTATATATAGGGTTGTTCCAGCACTGRCAGGTTGATCAAAATTCTCTTCTCGCAATGAGCAGAAGTTCCACCAKCTCTCTCCAGGTACTGCCTCTTCTCAGAGCCTAGCTAAACTGTCCATAGACTCGTGCGCAAGCGCGGTCGCTGGGCGCTTTGCTCTGGTTAGCACAGCACCACACAGAGTGTCTGGTTATCGGTAGYAAAACCGTCAAAAGTAGCAATACTTATAAGTAGCAATACTCACTGCCTCTAACAGTTGTCTTTTCTCCTGGAAACAAGTTTTTTTTCCCTATCAGGTTTTTAAGTTTGCGCCCACTCAATAAAATGCGAGTTCACATTAAACTGTTTTGAATGTGACACCAAGCCGATTAAGTTGAAAATCTGCATCATTTTTGGATGAAATTGAGAAAGAGCGTCTCACGGAGGAGATTAGAAAACACTATATGATACRTTAATGAAGGAATATAAGGACTTTCAGAGATCAACAAAATCGTGGGAGGAAATAGCTCAGACCCTGGGTAAAGTAAGTTATTTTCATTTGTTGTTTTAAAGCTTAAATGCAAGCTATCTCTTCCTCTTCRTCCTTGACATTATGACAAATTGCAAAAAATTATGGAACTTGTCAGGCGGTCAGTACGCTCGAGTATGAAGTCTCAAATATCCGCAGACAATATGCACAGAGTCCGCGTGGCTCACGGACTGCAAACATTACGCCATAGTATGTAGGAGCCTTAMCTGTTGTTTTTCTATCTCTACTTTGTTCTTTATTTCTTCGATCTGRCTGTTGTTCACGAGGGTTTGGAGTCAGATCTGTCAAACCTCTCTGTTCCTTTATGCTGCGAATCTCAAATTCACTTCTGTCCTTTTTCAGTTTTCGWTTTTCCTCTTTGAATTTTCTGACGGCCTCCTTCATTTTTATTTTGACGTCTTCGATTTWGCTTTTTTCATCAAGAAATTGCAACTTTTCTTGTTGCATTTCTGCACGTTCTATCTTTAACTGTTCCTTTGCAGCTTCAAACTGTTTTTTCGCMACTGCAAAAAGGAACTTTTCTTTCTGCAGTYCTTGATTTTCTTCTTCGGTTTTTTTCTTCACCTTTTTGGTTTGCCTGTCTGCATATTCCAATTGCTCTCTCACTGATGTGAGAGCTTTCATGTCCTCTTCCATTTGCTTCATGGCCCTGTTTCTTTTCCTTTCCTTTTCAAACTCTCTTATCCATAAGCCGGATTCTCCGAGTCGTTCTTTGCAACCCTAGATTTTAACTTGAGAGCTTTGTTTTCCAGGAACAGTTGATGTTTTTCCTCTTCCAGGGATCTTTCCTCAGCTTCCAGAGCTTGTTTATCTTTCTGTAAAGCTGCTATCACCTGGGAGAATATCTGTTCCTCCAGCTGAATGGTTTTGTAAAGATCTTCTCTCTCCGTTGCAAGTTGAACGACCCGGACTCTCAGTTGTTCTCCATATTGACAAACTCAGTTGTTCTGAAACTGGTATATTTCTAACAGTTTCTTGGCCTGACAGAGTTCATTCTGAACTCGACWGAGTTCCTCCTGGGTCTGATCAGCTGGACGATCATGTATCAGATGATCAGACCTTTCCTCCTTTGGCGTCTCAGACTGATGTCTGAAATCGTTCTCCTGAGACTCTTGGTTTAAAATCTGGAGTCTCATTATCTCAGCATAATTTCTCAGATAGTATAACTCATTCTGAGATTGCTGAAAGGCACAGCAAARAGAAATGAGTTCATCCATGAGGGCTTTGGGAATTTTCCATGTAGAGGAGGGGATGGTAACTTCCTCAGTGGGTCTCTGAGTTTCAGTTGTTTCAGACATGATGCTGGTCTGATTCATAGTTTTCTGAGGAAAACTGGATGTTTGATTAAAGACTTTAACTTGTTAAACAAGACAGTAATCACTGGAACAACTAAATAAGTCTGCACTCTGAGAAGACTTRTGTGAAAACAAACTACCCTCATTGATGGAGACAATTATAGAACTCTGTTCTTAAATAGATGATTGAAGGACATCATCATCAAAGACAGATGGATGGGCTAGTTGCTGTGGAAACAAGCACCCCCTCCAAAGACTGTCAAGGAGTTTGTCTTCAGTTGTGTGTGTGTGTGTGTGTGTGTGTGTGTGTGTGTGTGTGTGTGTGTGTACATGCTTTTACTACATGGTGGGATAATTTTTGACCATTTTCCAGGTACACAGCTCGGTGAGGACCAATTGTTCTGTTTCGGAAAAAAGCCTAGTCCCAGTTGTCGGAAATACGGTTGGTGGATCAGGGGTTCATTTTAGGACCAAGGTGTGAATTGAGTTTAGGCTACGTTTAGGGTAAGGGGTCATGGTTTTACTATAGAAATTACTCTTAAAAGAATGGAAGTCAATGCAAAGTCCCCATGAGGATATAAGAACAAGCAKGTGTCTGTCTGTCCACAATATTACTCAAAATGTTACAAACAGATTTCATGAAACTTTCAGGAAATGTTAAGGATATTGCAAAGACAAAAAAAGTTTTAATGTTGACCTGGATCACCATCCAGATCCGAGGGTTCTTGGCGGAGGTGTGCGCTCTCTGCCTGCTTCTAGTATCCAAATAATTCTGATAAAGTTTTATCTTAATTGCAGCACTGTAACAAACTAGAACAGTGGTTCCCAAACTTTTTCTGCCAGGCCTCCCTCTTATAACCAGAAGAAAATTTCCATGCACCCCCACCTCTACCACACACACACACACACACACACACACACACACACACACACACACTATCATTCACCTTTAACCTTTCAGAAAAAATAAGTTAAAAAAGGCAGTTTGAAACATTGTTTATGTCCAATAGTACAGCGTAACTGTGAGTCAAGGAGGAGGTGTGCAGAGGACAGGAGAAAAGAAGCATTGGACAGAGACCAAATCAGTCCAGACAAATGGATTACCTTGTTTTGGACCTCAGTGGGAACATAACATGGACTGTTGGCTGGGACCACTGCAGCACATGGTTTAAGCCGAGAGGGGAAAGGAGACTTTTATTATTAGCCAAAAGCAACCTGGGTAATCAAATTGGAGAGACAAAGCTTGGTGTAATTGAATAAAAGAGAGYTGGCAGGCTGCCTGAGTCCCACCGAGGGTTCTGGACATAAAGGAGTCTGAAAAACAGGCCTGAGATCAGCCTCGACACTCACGTCATGTCTGCACATCTGCACTCTGAACCTGGGTGTGCTGCATCTGATGGACTTAATGTTCCTGATGTATGCTGTCTGCATACTTACTGGGAAGATGAACTTTTGTAAAAATAAAACCCAAGTTTGCTTTTGTACGGTTCAATCTGCTCACTGGTGTTTTCTGCAATGGCCAGGTTCATAGTCTAGATATTTTGTTTWGTTTTTTCTCCCAATGACAGTTTTAAACTTTGTGTGAGACAGACTTCTCAAAAGCTAGAGTACAAATACTGTACCTAATATAAAGCGCAGTATTTTTGTTATGTTGTGCACTTTATAGAGAATGYAGAAGATCCACATTTATATGCAGCCAACTCCATGCAACTAGATGAAAAAAAATCTATAAATCTGGCTTGCTTGGATAATTTAAGTGTGGCCCCTAAACATGGCCCAAGCTGACAAATGTGGAGGCAGAAGACATAAGTACTGGGATACACTAAAGATGAGATGTATGCAGCTCCAGCTACAAGCTTAACAAGTGCAAGAGACACAAAGAGACTCGTGAGATCCATTTTTTAGAGTTTATGACACAAGAACACCACCAAAGCAGAAGCTGGTCACCAGTAGTGAAATTAGCCATGAAGAGAACTCACTAAAACAACCATCCTCCATGCTACAAAAAACAAGAAAATACAAAAATTCACACTTTGAATAAAGATCAGTTTTATGTGGAATAATAAAAAAACTCTTATGAGCTTAAAAACAAATCAACTGAACTTCTGTTCATCATTCATTGTGCTTTGTACAATGRCAATAAAGGTTTATTCAACTCTGAAGTTGAGGATATTTTGCTTCCCATCCAGGGAACTTTTTTCAATTGCTTGACAGAAGTGAACATGGCCCTATCCCAACTCTGAGACGTGTTACAAATCAAAAGTATTAGTTCAAGTGTGTGTTTACTTATGCAAMCGGCTTGTGGCACCTTTTTATTTATTATATTTCACCCCAAACAAATGTGTTTTCCACTTGAACTGTACAAAATGTCACATTAAARGTGGTAAAAGTTTTATAATGGCTATGTTTACACACCAAGTACTAAGGTTTTTTTTTTGGTGTGGACGTTCACATTATGTTTTAAATGTGACCTCCATCAGACTCCAGTGTGAACTCTCCATGGCACTGATGTGAAATGCATGCGCAGAAGATGATGTGATGTCATATTAAGCTCTGTTTACAGAGTTACATAAACATGGATGCTACTTGTCGGCATGTCGATTCTTAAGTTGTTGTGCAATCARAGCCAATTAAATAATTATGTAACACGCTTGTTTAGTTCAGTGTTTATATCTGAA